TTTCCAATTTCCAGAAAGAAAATTAATTACCCAAATGCTTCTTAAGCGAACGCTATTCTCCTTCTCCAAATAAATAGCTTACGATTGATCATCCCAAGTGATTTCGCGAGGAACACAAAATCCACCCCTAATTTGTACGTTAAGGTGCGAAAACTGTTTTATTGCGCCTACCGCATCATCCGTAATAATTTTCTGATAAGCGCTCCGGCGAGACCGCAAATCCAACAAATAAATAAGGACATAATCGCGCCGCCTCGAAGCAAATTAAGTTCCAAAGAACACATAGTCCCTATTTTTTTTCACTTTATCGCCTCCGTCGCGTAGAAAATTAAAGAATAATATCCATGCTAATATAATGTGATGATATTTTACTGAATTACGCCTGGAAAGGCGAACGCCAGTAATTTAGTGTATAGTCCAATTGAATGAAAGGCGACCATTTCCATGCGAACTTTCGACTTATGCCAGTCGTGTAATAAAGTTTTCCTTTACGTTATTGCGCTGGAATGTTACAAATTAAATTTATTTACATTTTTTTCTTAAATTAAATTATTTTCTCGGTCACCCGTGGGGATATAAAGAAAATTGTGTTTGAAAATCACATGATCCGAAATAACAGGTTTGTATAGGAATGTAAAGAACATGAACTGAAAAATCTGAGTAAAAGTAAAGTTCAGATAAAATTCCAAGAGACTTGAAGTAACTAAGTAATCGGAATTTAATCGAGAATTTCAAAAAAATCTGAAAAACTTGACCATTCGAGAAACGATGAGATGTTCTTCTCTTTTTTATCCGTCTGGGCCCTCAACAGGCTTGCGCCCAATTACAGAGTGACTCGCATAATGCCTCTGCAGAAGATCTTAAGTTGTTTTATACTACTCCGGTATTTACCTTACGAATTAGATGAAACATTCTTAACTCAGTCCAGGTTCGAACACCCGACCTCCGATTTTATAGCCCAGCTCTACCATTGAACCACAAAGTCGATTGACGTAGAGAGCGCGAAATTTGTACTCTCCGAAGATCACGAGTAGGATGCTAATGTTAATCGTAGTGGTAATGTCTCGGGAGACTATCGAATGGTGATAACCGTTTCTTCGAAATGGGTTTACAACACTTTTTCTTCCATATTTAGCTTGATAGTTTCATCGTGCTTAATTTTCTGATGTTCTTTAAACAGATACAAAAAATAAAAAACTTTCTCATTACCACTTTTTGAGCTCTACAAGACATCGTTGGGGGATTTCTTGAAATCATCTTCATGTCATTTCTCCTAAACGAAACGTTGTATCGAAGATCTCTCAACGGTGTCTTCTAGAGCTCAAAAAGTGGTCATGAGAAAGTGTTTTTTATTTTTTGTACCTGTTCAAATAACATCAAAAAATAAAAAGGAAATCGGGGCCAATTTCTGTTTTTTTGGCATATCCTCAAAAGTGATCGGAATTTTTCAATTTTATTTAAAGCACGATAATAATTACGCAACTTTTTGCTTATCTGACCATCGCCTTATCTTTTATGGTTTCCGAGATTCCCAAGACAGAGTGTATACTATACAGGCTGATTCAAAATCGAGGGCCACCATGGGGATCTCGGGAACTGTAAGAGATAGATAAGTAGTTGAAATTTGGCAAAGTTGCGTATTTTGATATTTAAAGAATTCCGACTACTTCGGGTGATATCCGGAAAACACCGAAATTTTGCAAAATCGTTTTTATTTTTTCCTAAAGTTATTTAAAAAGATATTTTGAAATACATGACATATTATTATGGCCACTTTTTTCCCTCTACAAGATGCTAGTTTCAAATTTTAAATCCGACGTTTCGCCTCCGGTTGACCTAGTCTTTTTAGTAAACGTGATGAGCGATAGATGGCGTGGTTTGACATTAACATAAACTTTGCAGGTTTTCTTAAAAATTTCAAATGGAGCGATATAATTATTATATGACATTATCAAATAAGATGGAAAAGTGAAAATATCAGTGAAAACCGGATTCTGATATCTGTTTCCTAAGCAGAGATATGGCGAAAATACGCACATTCATATATTTAAATTGCAATAATAGCTTCGGGGTAAATAAATGGAGTTTAAGATTATTGATCGTTATACGTATTAAGTTGTCGTTCTACATACGACGATGCGTAGCACAATTAAAACGCCACCGCCTTTCGATTATGATTACGCGGGTTCAAACCCCCCGAGCGCGTAATTTTTTTCTATAATAGATCGTGGAAAAAAGACGAGAGCGAAGGATTGTGAGAGAGAAAGGGCCACTTTCCAATTTTTTTAATGTATCAAAACTTCGACCGAGTTGTTGAATTTGTTTGAGAGCTACCCTAATACCATTTGTAGGGAGCTGTAAATAATTTAACATTTAACAACTAATCTTTAATCGAAGTTCCAATGTTCAGATGCACATGATTTCCTTTTCAATGGTCCTATTGGAAAACTAACTACCTAGAAACATACTCAGAAAGTTTCGAGATATACTGATTACTTTCATTGTCTGGTCAACAATTTCAGTTCGAATTTTTGTTTTCAATCTTCAAAAAATAATTACAGAGTTGCCATTTTCATGTCAAAAGACCACCAAATACCAGATTTTGACGAAATCAGAATTAGTTCCTCACCTTCGTTCAGGAATCTTCAGATAGAAATTTTGAAAACATTTTTACCCGCATACCCGATATCCTAAAAGACGTAAAGAATTGCAATTTTGCAACTGTTAGAAGGGTAGTTTTGTAACGGGAACACGCTAGACTGCCTAAATTTTTTCGAATTGAATTGAAGATAACGAAGCGCAGCAAAAATTGCTTTTAAATAGTACAAGCACGGACTAATATCATGTGTTTTTAATTTGCGGTACGAGCGACTCGAGAGAATTGCGCCGGTTCCTTTTTGGTTTTTCTACGGATCTCTAGATAGTTGGCGATTAGAGTCCTCTTAAGATTATCATATGTCTGCTGGATTGAATGTTTCTGATTGTTACTGTCTTAAAATCGCCTTGAAATTTGTAGACACGGGGGAAAATGGGTTGTTATTGAGTTGTGTACCTAGCAGCTTATTGAATACTGTCAAAACCACACCCCTGATATTACTGATTTTTCATCAAAAAGGGAAAGTTTCCCAATAGCGAATGAGCTCTCAAAATGAGGGTGTCTTAATTTTTAATTGGTTAATATCGTTTTTACTACCAATCCCAGACGGCTTTCAAGGTCGTTAATTAATTTCATAAAATGCCCATTCCCAAACTGGTTTATCAAACGGTGAGGAATGAAACACAATGTCTCTAATGAAAGGCTGTAATTTGAAGTATACTGCCGCAATATTGACGCCAAAAGTAATTAAAGAGCAAAAGCTTGCAAAATATGGATATGTACAAAACGTGACGCATATTCCGTTAACCGCAATCATCCAGATAAATTCCTTACATCGTCACTTCCAAAACTTGTTTGTGAAATAACTTTGGGATCAATATACTCCACCGCATCTTGAGCTTGTATTATTGAGTAGATCGACTAAAAATTTCCAATATTAATGAAATAAAATCAGCTTTTCTATGTCAAAGAGTAATAAAAATAGTTTTCATAGCAGAGAGAGTCAAAAGATAACCCCAAATAGATTCCGTTCGATTGGAGTACCCCATATTTTGATAAATTTTAAAGTAATATCAGTTTAAATACTGAAACTACCCGTTACAGCACCCAAAAGTGCGACTTTTGTTTTATTTGCTTATCTAGGTTTTAGATACTATTGCCTATTTTACTTGAAAAAAAAACGGCTCTTTCAGTTTCATTCGTCGTTTTCCAAAATTTCTAAAATTCTTTGCCTTTTATACACAAATTAAGATTTTGGTGGTAATGCAATAGCACAAAACCATTTTCTTTTAGTATGAAACTCCAAAGCTCCAAAACACAACACGAACTACAAAAAATCGACAGATCGTGTTGTGTCTAAGGTTCTGAAAGCTCTTGGAAAATCCCAAACAGTTTTGGGGATCTTAAAGACAACTTTCTCAAACTCCTAAAAATTGTTGAACTGCTTATTAAAGGTTATTAAAACCCTTGGAATACAGTTTTTAACTCAGGAAGGTTTCTAGAAACTCTTAAAGGCTCACATGAACTGGTAACATTTCGATTTTCTCATTTGTAATTTATTTGAGGGTCACTGTAATTTTTAAATCTTTCTTATTTAATTTTTGACGAATTCTTATTGGTGCATTCTTAAGGCGAATTGGCTAGATTACCTTTTCGTTCCCTTTTTCATTGCGAACACTTTTTTGGTGGTCGGCACGTTAAGCGCGATTGTATTAATAAATGCAATAAAGTCGGTATAAGTGCATGGATTTTAGGTTTTATTACCTTCTGGCGATTAACCAGATTTTGTGTAATTATCGAGTTAATGTTGGATCGAGCTTGATCACAATTTTTCTCGTTCTGGAGGACATTGTAGGATATTCGCTTTATTTTGAGTTGGAACCAATTCACTTTTAAATCGTGGCCGTATTGTTATCGTTAATTTCTAAATAATCCTCTTATTAATTGGAAGTAGGTTAAATGTTGTGCTCGAAAGGCACTTGAATGTAATTCCGTTCCCCTCCGCTTTAAACACCACAGGGTGTTCCTAAATATGACTTAAAAATTTAAAACTAGTCAAGAACTGTTACTGAATGATTGTCGATAATATGAAAAACTGCAACTGGCGAGTACGAGAGAAATGAGGTTGCGGATGCGACGAAATGGTACAACACGATATTTATTTGAAAAATGAACCAGGGTGCCACAAGTCATTGGTTTTTGTTTACTTTAGGAAACGCCAGGACGAGCTTATCGATCGATCTCATTAACAACCACTATTAATCATTCAGCGATGACATGCTAATGCAACCGGATTTGAAGGTTTAATGCACTATAAAATAGTGTTGCAAAAATATAACGTCGTCCTTGACTGCAATGCAATAACCCGTACGAAAACTTGTTGTTGATATAATTTTAGCACAGACGCGTTTAGCAACACCCGTCTCTTTAGTGTGAATCGTACAGACATGTCTACAGGTCATCAAAGAGATCCCGTTCTATACGTACTTTACGCAAGTCCAGCTGTGCGAAGTGTGCTGGTCACCGCCAAAATTCTAAACTTGAAGTTAGATGAACGAGAGGTGGATTTCCTGAAGGGCGAACACCTAAAACCGGAATACCTCAAGGTAGATCCATCAAACTACAACACCTGCTCTATAACTTGGTTTTTTAGCTAAATCCCCTGCACACGATGCCCACCTTAAACGACAACGGAAACGTTATTAACGATAGTCATGCTATCAACACGTATCTGGTCGGAAAGTATGGACAGGACGACTCACTTTACCCCAAGGGCCTCTACCAACGCGCCCTCGTTGATCAAAAACTAGCGTTTAACTTGGGAAAATTGTATCCCATCTTGGTCTCCGTTGATGTAAATTCAAAACACTCCAAATCAGTCATTTGTACTTCGATTTTTAGTACGCATACATGAAGGGGGAGATCAAGGCGATTCCGTCCGAGGATATTGAGAGGATCAGGACCCTCTACGATTTTTTGGAAGCGTTTCTGGAGAATTCCGATTGGATTTCCCTGGGCACGTTTAGCTTGGCCGACATACATTGCTACACAACTATCAGCTGCATGAACTTTCACGTTACTTTAGACGAAAAGATCTACCCTAAGAGTTACGGGTGGATGATGCGTTGTCGCAGTTTGCCATGTTTTAGCGATGATCACGAGAGGGTAAAATTGTTTGAGGACTATTTTAAAAGTTTTCAAGAATAATTTGAATGGATTGTGGCCATTTTCACCATTGCTCATTGTAAAATGTTTCGTTTTTGAATTAGAGTTAGGATAACAATCATGTTGGCCCCATGTAATTGAGACTCCTATGTTCTCTTGGGATTCAGGGCTGCTAACAAAGCAAGTTGCTACGTTTCTCCTATAATTTAGTTAAATTTGAACATTAGTGTACCTATATACATATAATTTAAATTCTGATTGTATACCTATTGTAATATTTATCGATTTTATACATGCATTAAATATTAAAGCAAAAGTCAATAGCAATAATTAATTAACACGGACGTTCTCAAATTTTCATGTATAATAGCTCACCATTTCAATCTCCATTTTACAATTTTCAAAATAACATCGTTGACCAGATACATGACCCAAAGCAATCGTACCCTTAACAGCCCTTAAGAGGTTTCAAAATCCTAAGAGCGTTTAAAGACATGCTCGATTATATCATCAAGGAACCTGAGCTTTTAGAGTCTATTAGCACCTTCATGTTTTTTTAGGTTTTTACGAAACTTTAAGCACATTTAAGGCCATTTATGAGCCTTTATGAGTTACCTAGCTTTTTTTCACAGCGTTTTAGTCGCCTTTACACCGTCTAAGGCATTTAAAACGTGGTTTTAGGGTCCCTAACCCACTCATGTAGCATTCAAGAGAACGGCATTCTATCATTCTTGATCTTCTTGATTTAAAGTACGTTATGGAAATTATCCCTGACAGAACCAAACCTCACAAAAGTGCTTTACGGCATTGCCGTGTCAACAAGAAGCGAGTGGAAGCACGAAAAATCCTCCCCAAAGCACTTTGGGTTCGCCTAACACACAAAAACAAAAATTTATTCCGTAAAACACAAAAGAAATCAAAACAACAATGCTGGAATCAAGAAAGGCCTGTTTTACGCATACCCCGCACGCAAGCGTTCGACAGACAATTAAATTTTAAAAAATCACAATTACTTACAGCTTTTCAATAATTCTATAAATCTGGTCATAAATATTTTGTGATATTTAGGCACACTTAGAACTGACACAAACACACGGCTTCAGGAACTTTATTTCTTTTTTTATTAAACTGGGTCTTTGAACATTAAACACAATTAGGCTTGAAAAACCCACCATATTTACTGTAAAAAATTAAAATATTTTACATACAATGGTTCTTCAGGTGCTGAAACCAAAATAACTTCTACGTTACGTAGTTTACACAGTATTGTGGTTTATTGGTGTTTTTGTTTTACCTTTTAATTTCAACGTCAAATGAAAACGAACATGGGCCTTTAGTGTAGGTCAGAGGGGAAAAGGAAATAATACCCTACTGTACCATTGTACTTCAATTGCAAGTCAGGCGGCTGAAACAACTCTACAAATCATAGGACTTAACATTACCTTCTATTCCCGACTCCTAGAAGATAAATAAATAGGTTCGGAAGTGGGACGTGGGAGTAATAATGATGCACCTAGGAATGCTTCAAAATGGTTCTCCCAGAAAGATTATTTAAGGGCCTCGAGCATCACCAGGAGATTCTCACACCTTGCTCCTGGTCAAGGACGATCGGTTCCGGGTGCGGAAATCCGGAAGCCACAGGTAAATCAGTTGGAGAGAATAGTAGAATTACGGAACACGGAAAAACAGCAATTTCCTAAAACGGGAACGAAAGCAAAAATTTAGTTAATCAACTACAGCTATTGGAAAGAGAAACCAACAAAGGAGACTCCTTTTTAACAACAGTAATAAAAATACCCTTCAAATTATACAGTACGGTTAGACAAATTAAAAAAAAAACCTATATGTACACGTTACCACGAAGCAAAAGCAAAAAGATCCCCTCTTAGTCACGTTCTTCCCATTTATCAAATTCGGCAATTTAGGGAAGGGAACGCTGGGTTTTCCAAACAACACGGGCTACTCGGATGATAACGTTCAAAATTTAAAACTCTTTTAATTAATTGCTCGGTTCCCTGTCATCCCAAAAATCTGGAAAACGGCTTAACATTCATGTTAATTAAGCGCGCCTCATTTGACATCAAACACATGTCAATGATGCGTCGTTTGCTGCAACATATCTGGTTAACTACCGGTAATTATCACTACTTAATTGGCCGGGTTGAAATTCCAAAATTCAGTAGCCATGGTCGATTGCAAACCACTTTACCTTCTATTCCCGACTTCTAGAAAGTAAATAGGTGCAAAAGTTACGGGTTTAGTTCGATTCAGTTTGATATAATCTTCGAGTTTAAATTTCCAGTTAAAAACCTTTACCGCAATTGAAAAGCCTCCGAGTGTCTCTATGAACCTTCTAGGTGCTTAATGAGTTTCAAGAGTCTTCAGCAAGCGTTAGGAGTCTCGCACGTTCATCTTTTGAAACCTCAAAACTTTCAGACAGTTTTTAAAAATGTTTCGGAAACCTTGACGCCCCTTGAGGACTTTTTTAAGATGATTTATTGGTTCCCTTTCATTACAAGAGTTTTAAGGCGCCCCTACACCATTTTATTGGTCTTTTGAACTTCCAATTGACCTTCAAAAATTTTTACCGGTTGCCATTTAATGATTTGATGTAATAACACAAACTTGTTTTTTATTTTTCTAATCGCTCCAACTATATTCGCAATAAACGTTCTGCACCTTGGACCACAACCCTTGTGTGGTTACCATTTACTTAAATGCGAGCACTTTAATTCGATAATGTAATGACCCGCAAATATTCACGTACTTTTACTATTTCCGCGTTTCGTAGGTTTACCTCGAAGCTTTGTCTAAGAATGCCTTTCTCCTACCCAATTTTTACTTATGTATACGCCGAGCTCGAATGATGAAGCAACCCCAACGAAAATCAAAGGCTCAGTCTTTTTTTATACATGTTTAGTTATAGCAAGAACTCCGTAACACTGTAGAGTTTCGCCTCTTGTCTGCTTGACCACCCGTTATCATCTTATCGCGCTTTATTAGTTCCGTTCTCGTTCCCTATGAAGCGGTATACGTATAAAATTTCCTATGCCACCAAACTTGTAAATTTACAGAGCCTCCAGGTCCTTTTACAAGCAGCATTCATAAGGTTCAAGCGCCTAATAATGTAATAATAGTTATCTATTATAAAAGACGATAAAGAGATGTTTTAGGTTAGTTTCCCTTTATGGTCGTTTATAATACAGAACTTTATTTTATAGCAGAAGCCGTAGAAATCATACAAATTAAGAAAAGATCGTACCAAAATAGCAAGATTAGGTTAACCGCCATTTCCATGGAAACAATATTGTTTTCGGTTCTGAACTTCAAATTACTTCGTACTCCGCGTTCCGTTTTTAATAAGAATGACAGATGTCATTATTATTATCTACCCTTGCCGTTAAAGTGGTCAATTCATCTACCCCTACTGTTAAAGAGACACTTAGTTTACTAAACCCTAAATGAATAAAAAGAAAATGCGCCTTGGATATTTATTAACATCACAGTTTTGCGTGAATATTTTTGTGCTACTATTTTCAACAAACTTTAGAATTCGTTCATCTTCTCAGCTAGAATTTTTTTGCCTGAACCGAAGCCTTATAAAACGCATAGTTTTCAGTTAAAATGCTTACACAAACTTTGTATATAGTTTCGTTTAACATTGCCTCTGATGGAACTTTAATTAAAACTAAAGCCGGGATACATCCCTACCCTAATTAATTTGTTTCGAACCCTATTAATTTTTATATTAATAAGAAACTTGTTAATCCCCAATTCGATGCAAGAAAATTATCAATCCGAACGCCAATACCGTAATGTAACCATTTATATTCATTAGAAGGAGCTGTGAATTAAAATCAATAAATTCATTACGTAAAATGTAATCATAACCGATCCTTATGAGTTATATGCGAGAAAGCAAAAAGCACGATTGGTTTTCTTACCGGCCGTTGTTACTCTATAAAATTTAGTTCCTTTTTTCCCCGTTTCACATTCTGTTATTTAACGGTATTGGCTTGAAACAGACAACAAAAATTAAGGGTTTTCTGTTTTCGTTAATACAATATGAAATGGCGATAAGGTAAGGGGCAGGGTAAGGGGTAAGCGCGAAATGAACCTTGCACACAGGTAATTTGGTTCGTTTGCCATATTTTTTTATTGGGAAGATAGTGCGTGATAGCTAGTCAAAGATGTCCTTCGGTGCTGGCATTATCAAGTCTAATTTTATTATGATTGGTGGTGTTTTTTAATCTTGAGGAAGGAGATTATTTTATTGTGGAAGTGGAAGTTTCGTTAAATACTGGAATCAATGAAAAAACGAAGAGTCACCGGCAATTTGTCATATTATTCATCAAGTTAATGTTGTTTGTCATCGAGATTTGTGTGTTAAGTGCGCCTTCTTTATCACAAAGCTTCGTAGGTACAACCAAATTATTAGGATTTTTAAAAGAGAAAAAGAAGATTTTCGTATTTTATCTGTCGAACGTCTGTGTGCGGGGTAATTTATCCAAACACTTTCAGGAACTTGTTTTAATTTTTCATTTCATGTTTCTGAGTAAGTTTATGTCAATCAATTATTTGTGTGTTTTTTCGAATCCTTTCAGCAACCCGGATAAAGTTTTTTTGTCATATTTTTCTTCTTCTGTCCAACAATTGTGTCAGATGTTAATGAAAATTTGTGAAGTTAATCATTGATTTGGGATTCTTTGTAGAAGATTGCGCATGGAAATATAAAAAATTGCAATATCATTAAAAATTCGTTAACCGATCCCTACTCGCACAACATGCTCTTCCGATACACATTTCTTTTTTAAAACTGCTTGAATCTGATCCCTGTAACTTTGGTAAAAGAGGTGATATAGATAAAACTTTTGGTGATTGACATGAGTACTAACGAATTGAATACTTTCAATTGTATTTTCTTATCTCTTCCGGTTTAACCCACCCCTTTCGCGCCCAAAAACCCTTCATTTAATTGAATTAATAACACTAGAAAATGTGATAAAGCCGACCAATAAGCTTTAGTAGTTTTGCAAACAATTTTGAAACATTCACTTTGAAGCGCATTACCTTACCCTTCACAAATTTCTGTTCTTAGTGCCGTTCCCTACAAAAGTGTTAACGAAGTTTATACTAAAACTTTGTACGCTATTAATGGACGGAAACCTTTAGGAACTGTAAGTGTATTGAAAGAAGGGGCGAGGTGGAAGATGTCACGACGACAGTGCGGTCGACCGAGTACTTTCTTTTTTACAGCACAGTTAAAACCGGAGAAGTAATATTAAAAATGATGATCTTTGAGTAAATGACAAGGGGTTGGTAAAAGC